AAGTCTCCATCTTTTTATGGCTGCATAGTATTCCATGGTATACATATACCATAATTTGTTAATCCATTCATGGGTCAATGGGCACTTGGGCTGCTTCCATGACTTGGCAATTATGAATTGAGGTGCAATAAATATTCTGGTGCAAATGTCTTTGTTGTAAAATGATTTTTGATCATCTGGTATGTACCTTGTCAGATATGATTTCTATTTCCTACTTTTTATTCAGTATGCAACACTTCCTTATTTCCAGGTATGTGTCAGAATTTTATACTTGTAAATAGACACTTTATATTATATGACTAGCTCTGAATCCTATGAAATGTCTTCTTCATAATATTAGTTATTGACATTCATGCTTAGTTTTATTATTTCTTTTATTCTTACTTTATTTTTTTTTAACATTATTTATTAGGCCTGAACAAGTACAGGGTTTTGTAGGGGGGGAGTTTTGTTTGTTTGTTTGTTTGTTTTGGCCAGGGCTGGGTTTGAACCCACCACCTCCGGCACATGGGGCTAGTGCCCCACTCTTCTGAGCCACAGGCACCGCCCTATTCTTACTTTATTTTAGAGCCTGACTTTCAGGTAATTGCCCCTATGTTTAAGCCGCTTAGTAGTCAGTCAATGATTCCACAAAGGATTTGCTCAAATATTCTAAGTCAGCTATTCTCAACCTGTGGGTCACGACCCACAGGAACTGCATTAAAGGGCTGTGGCGTTAGGAAGGTTGAGAACCACTGTTCTAAGTCAAAAAAGTTGTACTTTGCCAAAGGATCTGTACATCGTCCAGGATCTTTCTTTTCCCTGGATGCTTTTCGTGGTTCCTGTGCCTATACACGAAACCTCAGTTAATCATTATCTTAGGCCACGAGTGCCCAACCTGTGGTCTGCAAGCAGATGATTTGAGGACTGTTTTACTTATCTGTGGTGTTGGATATTGCAAAAAGTATTCACAGACCCTTTTTTTATGCTCATCAGCTATTGTTAGTGGTTTTGTATTTAATGTACGACCCAAGGCAACTCTTATTTCTCCCATGTACAGCAGGAAAGAAAGAAGGTTGGACACCTCTGACTTAGGCTGAAGGAGCTACTGGTCCTTGAAATTCACATGCCACCTAGATAGTGACTTTCACAGATAATGCTACTAGGCCTGTACAACATCAAGCACAGTAGGTAAGGTACTATCACTCTTCACAATCTTCCTCCCCCTGGAAGACCCTCTACACCAAAGAAGCCTGGAAAGGGAAAGAGTAGAATGGGATGGGAGAGCTATAGGTATGCATGCCATGGATTCCCACAGTTGTGCACAGTTGAACACTTTCTCAAGTATAAATACTTTTCAGATAGTTGCATGCCTTTGGGTGAATATTTTCACCTGACTTGTAGGTGGACTTAGCAATAAGCTGCAACAAACTGCCATCACTCTTTTTTTACAGACACACGCCACTGTCAGGAAACCAGCCCCGACACTCTGTGAGTCTACTTCCTTATAGCCTGGCAGTGTGAGTGACCGACGTAGGATTATTAGGAAAATTAAGGAGAATTAACAGACAAAGGCAAAGAGACAGTTTTAAGAGCAGCGGGGATTTGTGAGGCGGCACACCCTTCTTCTAGAGGCTTCCAGTATGCCTCCTCAAGTATCAGGCTCGCTCTGTATCTATTTCATACATCAGTGTTACAGTCATAAATCTTAAGGCAAGGCACACTCCCATCATGGTTCTTGCTGAGCTTGTATTTCTATTAACTAGACTAATTCTACAACTAATTACGTTAATTGTACGGATTGACTTGCTACTTTTTACTGGGTTTTTTCGTTTTGTTTTGTTTTTGAGACAGAGTCTCAAGCTATCGCCCTGGGTAGAGTGCCTTGGTATCACAGCTCATAGCAACCTCAAACTCCTGGGCTTAAGCAATTCTCTTGCCTCAGCCTCCAAAGTAGTTGGGACTACAGGCGTCCGCCACAACGCCCAGCTATTTTTTGGTTGTAGTTGTCATTGTTTGGCAGGCTCAAATTGTATTTGAACCTACCAGCTCTGGTATATGTAGCTGGTGCCTTAGCTGCTTGAGCTACAGGCGCCACCCTACTTTTTATTGCTTTAAGGTATTTATGATCTTAATATAAACACAGAGTCTTGACAAGGTAGACAATTAAGAGTTGACTCAAGGGAAAAAAACCCTAGCTGACCCTCAGTCACACATCTCAGATGTGATGTTTTAATATTCTGACAGCCTTGTGTCTAGATAGATAGATTCCTCTGACCAAACTAAGGTAACAGAAGAAAAGAGATACTTCATCTCCTTATCTGGTCTGGACCAAATTTTTCTGTATAGAACAAGGTTTAAGAATTCCACATTCTTTTCTCCCAAAAAGCACTCTCCCGGAGCGCGCAGCCCCACCCTGGCAATGTACAGCCTCAAAGCCTGCAGCCTGCAGCCTCCAGCAGCTGTGAAAAAAGGGGGAGATATCCAACACTCCACGCTTCAGAATATTAAACTGACAGAGTCTCATGCTTTGCCCTTGAAGGCAGGAAATTTCATCTGAATCAATCCCCTATTAATGTCTACTTTTGTCCATACTCTGCACCCTATTCCTAATTTAATTTCTAATCTACTTACAACTAATAATCGAATATTCATTGTAAACTTACAAAATCATTATTACTAGGAATGCAAGCACATCAAGATATGACACGACTCTTCCCTTAAGTATTCCCACATGCACTCTTTATGCCACCACACATGGCTAATTTTTTAAAATTTGTTATAGAAGCGCATTTTCACTACGTTGCCCAGGCTGGTCTTGAATGCCTAGTATCAAGTGCCCACAATTCCTAAGTGTTTACTACAGTTCCTCTTCTACTATTATAGCTTTATAACCTACATTGGAAGTCCTGCTTAACTCTTCTACAGCTACTGCAATAATTCTCATTCCTTTTTTTCCCCCTAAGACAGAGCCTCAAGCTATCCCCCTGGGTAGAGTGCCATGGCATCACAGCTCACAGCAACCTCCAACTCCTGGGCTCAAGCGAGACTCCTGCC